TAATCATTAAAACCTAAAGGGACAGATCATTTCAGATTTAATCACAACCTCTAACATCCAACCATAGAGTAAAGAGGTTGTGTCTAACATGGAAACACAAACATATTATGTCTAAACTCATAAAAAAAGGCTTAAGTTAGATATCCGCTTGTTACACTTCCTGATTTTTGTCCTCTATTTGATCATATCTTCCTCACAGTTTCTGCATATCTGCAAAACTTGATATGCATAATGCAAATACAGACGTTTCTAGTTTGCTATCAGATCAATAGCTGGGGGAGTAAAGCTGCACGAAATCAAAATTTCTTCCTTGTTGCTCTGACCTGAGGTCCAAACATTGGACCGATCTTTCCTGCCTGTGTATCTTCCTCATTTATTCAAACACTGATAACCTTGCACTTTATTTGTTGTTTGTTATTCATTTGAACTGAATTGCAATAAGCAATTAATGAGCAGATAGTTTCAATCTATTTATAGATTTCCAGAGTTTTTATTTTAAAATGCTTTGTGTTTAAAAGAATCTTCAAGGGTAAATGCACTTTTGTACAAAAAAGTGCTTTGACCAGTTAATTCATTCAACAACATGGAGTAAGGAAAGGCTACAGCCATGAAGAGAAGTTCAATCAAAGTTTGGGGATTTTTAATCTAAAAAGGAATGCGGTTTCAAAGAGAAGTTTAGTCTGTGCAAAAAGAAAAGCAAAATTAAAAAATATGTTAAAATATTGAAAAATATGCAAAAAAAGGAACCACTTATTCAATAGCCATAATCATGAATTAGCTGCACTTATTTCCAGGTCAGAGAGTAAGATTCAGCTTCTAAATATGGTCATTGTAAGACCAGGAAATTACAATGGCTCAGCAGGAGCCCTCAAACACCTGTAGAAATGTCACAAAAATGCCACTTAAAGATAACCATTGACGTCAGGGCATCAGAATGCAGAGCTGAACATCTGTCCCACATCATTCAGTGTGTCTGCTTGAAAGTAAAGGTGCAAAGTTCCTTTAAATAACCTTGTTATAAAGAAAACCTTGCCAGCTGGTACGTGGTGAAGGGCATGGTCTGCCTGTGGATGTAGGGCAGCTGGCAGTAAGGAAAACACTGCATGAGAAATACGAAGGAATCAAGAAAGAAAGCAACAGAGTTGTACTAGATAAAACTGGAGAGTTATCTACAGAATAAAATAACTTATTTCCAAGTTGCAATCTGTTTAAATTGACTAACTTCCAAAATCCTTAATCCAATTGAAATTCTAAATGTGTGAATGGATTAAGAAAATACTGTTAATTTTAGTTCGTCATCTACCCATTAGTGGATTAGTGGATAGGAAAAAAAGAGGATCACCTAAGATGGCTTTCGTGCAATTTCTATGCATTGAAAGTATTCTAAAATAATTCCTACAGCACATCATCACATCCCGTACCCAATGCTTCCATGTATTGGTCTTTTAGCTTGACCCATAGGCTGGTCATTGAATAATCTTTCTGGTCTTCAGCATTATGTTTTACTCAGAGCTCTTTCTGCTCATCACTGCTCTGCTTTAGAGCAGACGTTTTCAATTATATTATTGATAAAAAATAAGAACTTGATGTAGAAATCTTCTTATTTCACACTGACTATCAGGACATTTATATGTTGTTTAGAGTTGTTTATTGTGGAAAACTAAGATCAAACACTGCGCTGTCATATCTGTTTTTACCAGCACTCTATCTAATTTAAAGTAATCCTCGCCTATTTTGCATAGCAAAATGGTCGCCGGCGATCGGGTGGGTTTTAAGAGGCTATAGTCCTTTGCATCAATGAGAATAAATAGAGCTTCATTTGGAAGACTTTAATATAATTTTTTGTTCCTTTCTCATTTAGCACAAACACTATTAGGACCTAAGCCTAGTAGCTTTATAGAGTGTAAGGATGTTAAATTGTGTGTGTGTGTGTGTATGTGTGGCCATGTCTTTAATACCTGGTGGGGACAATTTCCTAGGAATATGCAACATTTTGGGGACTCATAGGTACTTGTGGGGACCAACAACTGGTCCCCATAAGGAAAGTTTCTCTTCTTAGGGTGGGGGTTAGGTTTAGGACTAAGGTGTGGATTGAGTTTAGGTTAGGTTTAGGGATAGGTATGTGTCAGTAATGGTTAGGGTTAGGGCAAGGGTCACGGTTAGGCCACATAAATTAGTGGGAAATGAATGGAAGTCAATGGAAGGTCCCCACAAGGATATTGTGACACAACATGTGTGTGTGTGTGTGTAAATAAAAGCTACCACTGTAGCTTTTATTTATTATTTTCAGGAAAGCTGTTGTATTGTATTTACATTATGCAGCAGTTTTTTTTGTTTGTTTTTTTTTTTTTTTTACAGTGTCCTGTCTGGCAAGGTGGCAATAAGAATAATTGTCTTGATGCAGCAGTTTTTTCTAAATTGTTTTTAGGGAGGTCCAGTTTAATCCTTGTAATAAAGGTTCAGAATAATCTTAAAAAGCAGAATCAAAGTAAATGTAACATGTGTTCATATATCTGAAGAAACTGTATTTAAATCAAGTCTTGAAGAATCTTGTAAATTATTTTCGTTCACCCTTTTTATTGTCAATCTATATTCATTACAGTGGACCTAAACTTATTATAAAAGCATAACCCTGCCCAAAAACAATTTTTGAAAAATGCTACCAAAGTGGGCAGTGCCAAGAGGCAGTCATGAGTGAAGGGGGCTTAAACTGTGGTGGTCAGAACAAGGGAAAGTGAATTTGAAATGACTATATAATGCAAGTACCTAAAGTAAAAAAAAAAGAAATATTGTACAGGACATGATGATAACACATCATGTTTAGGTTAAATGTTGGTAAACAGTTCATATTTCCATAATTTTAGTCCATTAGATGCACTGTAGTAAAGCCCAGACAGGTTGAACTACTGTTTGCTGATGTGGATATTGTGGAACAGAGCTGCTGCAAATGCTGTTAGGTCGTCCCACCTTCCTGTCATTTTGATGGTGATTCAGTGGATGTAGTACATTTGTAGGTTTCCTTGTTAGGCATGTTGAGGTTCCTCTTTTCTGCCAGCTCTGCTTCAGAATAATTTGTAGACGATGTCTGCATACCAAAATAACTGTGGTGTTCAGGCTTCATGAACTGCAGGACTGGTTCTCTTATATGCTGATGCCAGATATTGTAAGAACAAGCCAACCTGACGCACACATCTGTATTGTATACATCAGCTTTCATATTCTGGTTTAAAAAGGAAAAATGAGAAGTAACTTAATTAGAATAAGGGGCTTTTGACATAGTCAAAATTGCCTAAAGGTAAACTGAATAGAAACTCATACCATGATGTCTCTGTCCTCGCATGTATACAAATCATTATAAATATTTTATTGACAAAGGTTCAACAATATTGAAGGTTTTAATAACTGCTGCTTACAGCTGTGCTTTAAAAAATAAGGAAGATGCTGCAGGTCCATTATTGTACGATTAGATGCTTTTAACTCATAAAATAAAAAATAAAAATCTGTTGAGATGAGTTTTTGTTTAAGTTTCCCTTACAGTCAGGTTTTTGTAAAACTGTAAATGTTCAAAAATCTAAATCTGAGTTCTAAAAATGGTCAAAGATCCCCCAAAACTGCAGATTTTCTTACAACATAAAGAGTTTAACAAAAAGCAAAAATAAATAACAACTTATGTCTGAAATGTTATTACTAAAAGATATTTTCTAGCTGTAAAACTTGGTCTAATTGTGCGACATTTTGACTCGAACCTGTTGGACTTGATTGCTTTTCATGACATCATGTTCCCAGCCATGGCTAACATGGTTTCTTTTGAATTCATGTTAATGCTAGCAGCAAATCTGAATTTTAGTGCAACATCAGCTGCAGACGGTAACCTGCTACCACTAGAATACGATAAAATATGATATTCTTCAACATTAATGTCACAGCAGTAAGCTTTTCAACATACTGTAAGAGGCTTTGCTGAAATTAAATTTATCACTGTTATTGCTGCAGTGTTTGAACTCTAATAAAAGTTGAGTTGATCAATATATTGTGTGAAAATTCTCACTCAAAGCTGTGGTGATACAAAAAAGCATGACTATTTGAAATATGAAATGCAATAACACATGAAAATATTAAGGCCAAAAAAAATGCACGGCCATGTAAGAACAAGTTTGTAAGCATTTTGATATCCTTGTAGGGATCTTCTGAGCTCTGCTGCCAGTTTCAAGATTTAATTTGGCTCCTGATAAGAAGCCCTTGGCTGGTTATCTTTACTTCATTACTCGTTTTTATCAGAGTTCTGGAGACTCCTGCACTGTCTGGTAAACAAGTTGTCATTTTCAAATGTAGATCTACTCACTGCAGTAACTCATACCTCTACATACTCTACCTAGGCATCTACAGTTCTCAAAATGTATACATTAATTGTTTTGCATTGTTTTTATACAATTAGAATATGTTTGCATCTTTCAGGCTTTGCTTATAGGAACCTTAGGTCAACCTATGCATCCTTAAAAATGCACAAATTACATGTTGAAATGGGGGCAGATATGTCGCTGGGTCAAGTTCATAGGAAATTGAATCAGTACTATTAATTCAATTCTGGGAGATTTTGAGGTTGACAGAGGAGGATATTATCTCTGCCTAGACCGTCTACGCATTTCATTGCACAACAGATCAAAATGAAGTTAAAAATCACAGAAAGTAGCTGTGCGATTTCCAGACATGTTTGAGAGGATTTGGGAAAGCTGCAGACATGTGAGACACATTTAGTGAATGCACACATACACACATAAAGAGAGGACAAAAAAACCCGGATATCAGGTTTACATTTTCTTTAAGATCAACTTATGTTTATGTATTTTGCAAAAGACAACTATCATTAAATAAATTTTATTAAACTGAATCCTGAAGTAAATTAGCTTTGAGTCCTTAAGTTAGTTTCCAAACTTTGCTACTGAAGTTTGGTAAAGATCAACACTTTTTAAATTGGAATCCAGGCTATTTTTTGTACTTACTCATGGTGCAATTGGTGGTGAAGTGAGGTTCAATGGTAGCAGTATCATCATGAGGGATTCGCTGATCGTAGCTGGTTGAGATCCGAAAAGGTGATCCTCCACTCGTTCCCATGGTGAGGTGGACCACTGCCCAGCTGCCGAGGAGAGAAAGTAGGAGTAGGGTCAGTGCAATGAGCAGACACCAGGGCTGACAGAAACAGCGACAGCATCGTGGAGCATTCGGTGTTAGCATGGTCTGGGTCGGCTCAGTGGGAGCTCCTGGAGTCAGCGAGGCAGGACTGTCCAGAGCTTCCCTGGAAGCCATCACAGGAATGTCATGATCCCCTTCCAATTTTGGAGGGTCCCCTTCTTCCTTTGTCTGCTGATGCATAGCCCACCTCAAAAGAAGGCTTTTAAGATAATCCAGCTTTCAGGTAGCAATATGTGCCTGGAATTGAAAAGGTAAAATGTCGGCAGGTGTGCAGCCAGGAATCAACACCACGACTCTAAAGTTTCTAGTGTGTTAGAGAGCTGCTGTCCTGCACTGAATGCCGTTCTCCCTCACCAGTACCAGGCTTTGTGCACTTCTACTGCCTCTAATTTTATTAAGCAAATTGCGTTGATTTTTCCCTGCCTCCGAACTCATCAACAATCCCTCTCTCACTCTCTTCCTTCCTGTTTTTCTCCTCCCCCATCTGCTTTCACTTCAAGTTTTATTTGTGTTTCAGGACACTTTAAGTGGGTCAAAAATGGGGATGGTGGCAAACACAAGATAAAATTATTTCTTATGGTTATTTTGGAAAAAAAAAGTTAAGTCAAAAACAACCACTTGAATTTATTTTATGATTTCCATCTATGTAAAATGTAAGCAATTTAACAATGTATTAGCAGTGATGTTGCTGTGCCATTTTTATTTTCTGTATTTTGGAATTAGTTGGGATTACCTGCAGGTAATTGTGCTTTCAAAAATTACTAAAGGCAGAAAAAAAAAACAAACGAAGAGGGAATTAATTCTGAAACACTCGGGCATTAACCTGCTAAATATGCAAAAACAGTAATACAGTAGTTATAAAAAACTAAACCTCCTTTGAAATGAGAGGTTTCTGTATAAGAAGAATCTGATGACATTTTATCAGAGAAAACCAAGGTAGAGAGATCAAACACAGCCATCAGCACAAGTATACTAGCTGTTAAGCACAGTGGTGGAGGAGTAATGATCTGGATTTGTTTATCTGAACACTTCGCTCTTTGGCAGATAAAACTAGTTTCAAGAGAGTACAGATCTCTCCCATCCGGCATTACTTCTCTTAACGTTGACCATTGAATCTTGGAACATCAGTGTTATCGTATTTATAAAAAAGTAAATATTTATCTTTAAAGACCAGATTTATTTTTATAAGTGATACAAAACAACAAAGGGAATAGATATGATAGTGTTTCCCTTTTTTAAGGGACTTTAACAAGCCTCAAAATGCTTCGTACTATTACACTGGGAGAATTTAACATGACCCAACATTTCAATTATGAGGAGCGTGCTGGGAAATAGGAACCTGCCTGCGTTTGTTGTGGAGCTTATTTTATGCTTTGTTAGTCTAGCAAATAGGAATGCACACTCATATACAAACGGGCTGTGATTTTTTTGTTTCTTATTTCCCAAACGCCTAAGCTTCAAATCAACATTTCTACCTTCTCCATATTCTTCCCAGCTGCTCTCACCTCTGCCTTGTTTTGCTTTTCCTCACTTTTATCCTAGCTTAGAGCAGAGGGAGGATTCTCACGAGAGAGGGAACGATGCTGCAGCACCCAAATGCTTTTATAGTAAGTGAAGCCCCTCTGCAGTGTTGGACCCGCTCCCTGATATACCCCATAATAGGAAGCAAATTAAACCACGACTAGAATGAGTGCTGATACAGTCTCTGTAATAACTTTAAGAGTAATAAATCTTGCACATGCTGTTATTGAAACCACAATCAGTTAAGCCCCAGGTCAAACTGTAGAAAAAAAGCTCTTCCTGAGTTAAACTATTGCATTGAGGTAAAAAAAAAGATATACGAGTAAGTTTATAAGAAATATAAAACAAAGTGGGAGACAAAATGAAGATATGATTAATTTAAAATCAACAGCAATTAGAAATTTAACCTCAGTCTAATAAATCTGCTCCAGTCCTGGGATTTTACATTATTTTAATGGCTTTTAATGCTTATATTTCTTCAGGCATTTACAGCACTGATTAGCAGACTTGACAAAGAGCATATTTAAACATTTTTAACATCAAAGTATTAATTAGACCAGTAAAGCAAGACATGATAGCCTTAAATCTATACAAATGAATAAAAAAAAGGAATTTTAAAGGAGGATGTTAGTATTTCTCATTATGTTCTTTTTGTTTACTCATAGGGCTTGTTGCCTATTCATCTAACCTTTTGTTTTAGATGCTGTTTCGGTTTATTCCAGGTTTTTAAAGAAAATAAAATTTTATGACAAAAAAAAAAAAAAAACAGCAATGGCCACCAGTCTTTTTCTTCTTTTCTTTGCCCATTTGACAGATTTAATTTGATAATGCTTTTTATTTCTGCTCCCTCAGTACTCAGCTCTGGCTAATGTCTGGCATTTCATTTTCATTTGCTGTGTTTTCTTGTTAGTGAGGATGTGGGATGCTTGTGTCCTAACCACATTAAAGCTTATTTGTCTTGTGTGTTCTGGTTTATATTAGCTGAAGGCCCCATTTGTAAGGACAAACAGCATATATGAGAAAGAGAGGGAAAAAAGTATTCTCCAAGGTTAGAAGAGAGCTTGACAGAGATGTTGGATGAAAGTCACATAAAAAGGAATTTAGAAAGTTGTTAGATATTAGCCACTTAGTCCTTCAAAACAATAAAATTTTTTAAATAATAATTACAATCAGATATTATTAAACTAAGATACTGGTTTAATCAGTAATTACTTGCTGTAATTTGCAACAAAGAAAAATATGTTTTTTTAAGTTGTGTGTGGAACTAATGTAGGAACTTAGTAAAAGTCAAACATTTGTGGCAAAAACATTCTTGTTTCAGCTTCAGATTTGATGTTTCAATGAGAAAGCTAATACTGATGCTAAGTTTAGTGAAATGCATAGACTTGTTTATTAACCCAAAAAAGTAATAGCTGATGATCCACACATTTTAGCGTAGTTGTCTGAGAAGAGGCTTGTATGCAATCTTATTAGAGCTATTTTAAGAAGCCAATTTTTGCAGTAAAACTCAATATTTTAATTAATTTAACACCAGAGCTAATGTGAAATATTCAAGGGGAGCTTCTTCACCCTGAAGCAGTAGCTTCTGGTGAACAGATCATCTTAGCTGAGTTTGCCATCTTAGAAATGAAAGACGTAATATAATTTTCTTTTTCTTTTTAAGTTTAATCACCTAGATGTTCATTTATTTTTTTTGTTTATCATAGGAAAGCAAATCAAATGATGAGAGAAATAGTAGAGATAGTTATTAGTAATTTTTCCACTGCTAAAGAGAACTGAACAAGGTTTCCGTCATCGACTGGATCATCTGAAACCATGAAACATGTTTGCGTGCACCGATGGCTGACATCTCTGGTTGTACGTTTTTTAATGTATAACCTGAAATAGGATTGGAGATTGAGAAGTTCTGACGACAGCATTGTGTCTTTTTTCACAAATCTGTAGAAAATCAGTGAGTAATTTGATTACTAACATTGATATTGTGTGTCGTCTTCAAGGTTTTTAACTGTTTATAACTGAACTGTTTAAACCAATGCTGTATAAAACGAAAGTGAAAACTTAACTAACTCTTTCCAGTCCTTTAAGATATTTCATAAATAACAAGAATAAATAAATAAATGTACTTAAAGAGATATTATATAACTTTTCACTGGAAAAATATGTTTAAAATGTCTTTTTTATTTTACCTTTAATGACTGAAACATGGTTCGATGAGCAGACTGCCACCTCAGTAATTCAGCGCTGCTAGATTATAAGCCTGCAGCCTATTTTCCTTGATTTACTTCTGGTCGTAAGTTCTAGCACTGTTCGACAGATATGACGTCAATCGGTCCATGAAACATAAAAAGGCAGAACACAACATTGCAGCGACATTCAAACACTTTGATATGACCTGCAGACCTACATACAGAGAAATAACACTGCGGAGTGATTGCAGAACATGTCAATCATTTTAAGATGCACCAGTTGAAGAACCTGGATATAATACTATAGTCAGATATTAAGAATAATACACATGCACACACACACACATTATCTGATGATGTGCCAAAAGTTTAAAATTGATCATGTACATGTAATTTATATGTATTGATTGCATTGTTATGTTAATTACATCACATTACAGGCATTTTTATGGCGCAACTCCGAATTGGGGAGTACCAAGATGGTGGCAGGTGACTTCAGTTTTTCCAGTCTATCAGCAATCCGGTGAATAAATAGAGAATAATCTAAAAAAAAAAGTTTACTTTAAATACATTTTGGTTTTTCAGTGTTATGCAGAAACAAGGGACCAACTTTGGGGCATTTTTATATTTATGCCTTTCATGTAGAAGATTTGTCCATGACTCAGAAATATCACCAGTGTATGAAATAAATTTGCAATCTAGAACCCCTGTAACATAAAGAAACAATGTGTTGTTTTTCTAGTAGAACTAAGACTGTTAAACTTCAGAGTATGATGTATGAACACAAACAAAATAATGAAAACATCCCACTGTACAGTACAGTATTATATTCATTTTTTAAAACTATGTCACTTATTCTGTTATTTTTATACACTTTTTAAGGTCCACATTTGTGTGACGACTTTTGCTATAATCTTTTGCTGCTGTAACACCCCAATGTCCCCAGTGTGGGACAATAAAGGGATTTTCTATTCTATTCTATTCTATTCTATTCTATTCTATTCTATTCTATTCTATTCTATTCTATTCTATTCTATTCTATTCTATTCTATTCTATTCTATTCTATTCTATTCATATTTCAAAGTCCAAAGACCTGAAAATACTGACTATATTCATTATTTACTTATGCACACATATGTGTGGAAAGATAAGAATAAAAACTGTCTAGGTTTTTTGTGTTTTGTAAAGTAGAACTAACACTTTGAACAATAAATAACAAAAGGCTGACAAGGAAAG